GAGAGAGAGAGAGAGAGAGAGAGAGAGAGAGAGAGAGAGAGAGGGAGGGAGAGAGAGAAGTCAAAACGTGATTAGTGTCAGTCCACGCGATCTGGCTGAGCACTGCCGTCATATTGTCCTATACCAAAGGGCTGGGTTAGGATTGGAGTTAGGTTAGGGCTAGGTTCAGGTATAGGGTAAAGTATAGAGTTAGGGTTAGAGTTAGGTATAGGGTGAAGGTTAGGTTCAGGTATATTGTAAGGTAGAGAGTTTGGGTAAGAGCAAGGCTTAGGACTAGTAATAGGGTAAGGTATTAGGGTTAGATTTAAGGTTAGGGTTAGAGTTAGTGTTAGGTTTAGGGTGAGAGTCAGGATTGTTTGTTATAGTAGACAATAAACTTGCAAGTGGAACAATTATCAGCCTGGGCTGTTGTTAGACTGTCTAGAAATCCAGCACAGCGTGATTATATTTTGTATCAAAGTACCATTAGGGTGCGGATTTACGATTATATGGAAGTATATTCCTCCACTGGCAAAATTGAGGGCAAGCGAGCTAGGGGTAGGCCCAGAACAACATACTTAGGGAACCTGAACAAATGGGTAACTGGGAAAGATCAGGGAATCGTAGCTTTTTTGAGAGCATACGAGCAAAGGAATGAATGGAAAACCATGATCGCCGATGTCTGTCGCAGATCTGGCACTGGATGATGATGATGATGATGATGATATTCCGCCACATTGTCACCAGGAGCCACAATTACTATTATTTGAGGGATCTTGGTGAAGTCAGGCGCTAGCCAATTATACAATAATTAAAGAAACAGGCTTTTTCTGACCATTCGGCAATATTTTTCATTTAACTTTTTGACTGAACACATTTTATGTTTATTTAAAATTAAGCACACTTTCGTTTAGCTTTTACTGAAAAAAATTGATCAAAGGTACAAACATTGTAAATGTGCAGTAGTTAAAGACTCTCAAGCTTTAGAAGTCACCTTACTTTGGGGGCCATTTCCTCGCTAATTTCCCTTCAGACAACAGGTGACCCCCCCCCCCACGCCCAATCTCCTTAAATTGCAAATATCTGGACATAATACAAGATAGATCGGGTTGTTTTTTTCAACAAAAGCAAGACAAATTATCAAACAAATTTTAAAATTGTTCCAATAGCTTCGCATGCCCCAGAACTGACGAGCACCTGATCCCATCGCATCATGGCACATAAACATATGTGTCCCGACGCGGTGGAATAAGGCGCTCGTCAATTTTTGGTCATGTGAAGGTAATGGTATCATCATTAAGGTCGTTCATTTTTATTGTTATCCTGAATACAACTCGAGATATTCGCGATTGAATGAGGTAGGGGTCGCCTAGTTTCAGAGGTATAATTAGGGCAAAATGGTCGCCAAAGTTTAATTATTGCCTTAGCTTGTGAGTCTGTGGAAACAGAAAATTTACATTTTTTGGTGCCATTAATCAACATTTTTCAGTACTATCCACACAGAAATGTGTTCTTTAATGGACATGAAATGTGTTGAGCCCCCCCCCCCCACCCCCCAACAAAAATTTGATAAAAATTCCCAAACCTGCTAAAATATTATAGTTTCTTCAGTTTCATTATTTTGACGAGCGCCTGATTTAACCACGCCGAGTCACATATAATACATTTAGTTATCCGGTTATCCTGATGAAGTTACGAACCGTACGTATTTCTTCAGTGCAAGGAAGACAGCAGCTCTCAAAAGGTACTGTAATAGGAAGACCTCATTTAGACGACTATTTGAAGACAGGACAGCCTTCAAAATAAATAATATGTGACGTTATTTCCTTGTCAGTGCACCACCTGCCCCCCCCCCCCCAAACCACCTCCCTTGCCCCTTTCTTTCTTTTCTAAGTTTACCCCAGCATAGGCTCCCGCTATTCCTGACAATTAAAATGTAATATTTTCCAAACCATTAAAAAACTTTCCTATTCTTTGGTTTGGAACTTAACGGTAACAATGGTCCAGAGACACCTTCCCTAATAGTTTATTTGGTTAAATCAATTAAGTAGCTACTTGATATGGGTTCCTGAAGTACATAGGTAATGTGCCTGTGTCATCTGGTTACCTTGACACAATTAAAATACTTCTCTAGGTATGCGGTAGCTTTTTTCTGAAAGAAATTGTCATACATGTAGAAAAGCGAAGCAAAGCGAAACTAGAAAACCCAATCAGCCTTATTAAAGTTATTACTTCTATCGAACAAATTTTCGTTTGATATAAATAGATACGGTTCTATAAACTTGCAAATGTGACCATGAACTTACAACGGTGTTGCTATTTGATTTATAATATCATGTGTCATTTAGTGGAAAGTTTTTAGATACTTTTGTTTCGAGGCATGACATCTTTCACTATTATTTGGTCATACACAAGTGAATCCCTCTGTCGGTCATACACACACGCTAACACACATAGTCACATTCACAGAAAAATACACTCACACATACACACATACACACACACACACACACACACACACACACACACACACACACGCGCACGCGCGCGCGCACACACACTCATTCAATTAGACGCACAGGTACGCACCAACATACGCTTTGGCATAATTATAGACACACACGTAGCACAGCGTCGAACACACTCACACACTCACACACAAAGAAACACACGCTCTCTCTCTCTCTCTCTCTCTCTCTCACACACACACACACACACACTCACATACACACACTCACACAAACACATACATACACATATATACACCTACAAACGCACACACACACACACACACACGTTCATTCCCTCAAGCTCACACCTTTCCCTCTCAGTGAGCACTTATTTGTGCACAAACTAAAAATCATAATCGATACGAAATATCAATCGTACAGGAGAAACCGGGAACTTTTGGCATTTGCAATGACTAGCCTACAAAATACAGAGAGAAGCAGCGAAAACATGAGAGCCTCGTTTTAAGTCTGGAAGCGATGGCCCGCTCGCGAAGGGGGGATGCCTTTCTCGTCTGCCTCGCACCCTAACGATCGGTTAAAGCGCGGGGACCAATAGCAGTCATTCTCTGACAACGGAACTCCACGCACACGCGAGTGAACGTCGTCGATTCTGGAGATAAAGATCATTGAGATACTCATAACCAACGTTTCTTTCTGAACAAGGCTGAATTACTCTTTTAAAATTGGCTCAGGTTTCAGCAATAGCATGCGTTTTTGATGCAAGCTGCAGACCGAAACACATCTCTTAACGTCGAGCTGCAAAACAGAAGCGATTGTTTTCTGTGCAGTTCTAAAGTTTTGTATTTCACCATAAAAGAAAGAGTTAACATTTTTTCAAATTGCGAGAAATGCATATTTATCTGCTCTAAATCGTGCAAAACAAATGAAAGTAATGTTTTCAAAAAGGATAAATATTATCATTCTTCCTGAAACGTTTTCGGACTCGACATTTAGAGGGCAAACAGCGTCTTGCGTTTCATGATATTGCCATTGGATTAAAGTGTGTATCGGGTATCCTGGAAGACGCATAGTTTAAACCAAACGGCGTACGAAAACAAACAAACAAACAAACAAAGAAACGGTGGAGCACATATAAAAAGAAACTCTCACGTTCTCGAAACATCAGCTATCGCAGTTTCAGGAGTTGTGTTGGTTATGCAGCAAAACGTTGGATTCTGATACAAAGAAACCAACACAGCGATGTCCTATACCATCTGGTGAGTGTTTCCTTCCAGATATTTCACGGTGCAGAAAGTTGTGAAAAACTTCTCGGCAGTAATACAAACGTCCCGATTTGAGCCTGCCTCCCCCCCCCCCCCCCCCCCCCCGCCCCCATGATTTTCACGGGGATTTTTTAAATGACGTTATCTAAGAAATTGACTCTTTTCTATCATGATTGGATGTAGGAATGAAGTTGAGCCCTTTAAGGTTATCGATTTGTGTTGAAATGTGGTGTAAAACATAACGGAAAGCATAACGTAGATCATGACTAGTTGGCTTGATTGGGATTATACAAATAACATGGAACTGTCATAGGCTTTATGTTGATGTAGTAAAAAATATATTCCATATCTATAAATTCCTTATTCATTTGTTACTTTTTTCATTGTATTTCTTTTTGTCTTATTTTATTTTGATCAGTAAAACTTATTGAACCTAGTTACAAGTAAAAAGCAATCCTCTACGTTCTTCGATCATGACTGATAAATCAGACAAGCCGAAAATCAAACCGACCCACCATGACGTTTCTTTTACTGCTGCTACTTCTTAATACTAAGTACAAGAAACACGAATTTTCTGAGCTACAAGGATAAATCAAAACATCTGAACTTTAACTAAATCTAATAATAAAAAAAGAAATTAAGAGTTGTTAAATGAAACAGGAGAGTTGATTACAGCTTTGTTCATGGAGTGCCCGTCGCTTTCAAAGGAAGAAAGGATTCTGATTATGTAGGACCGTGGTGTAGACTTCAAAAAAGCAATTAATTAATATTGATCCCATGCTTTTCACCGAACAATGTTACCCATTGTTTGTTCGAGTGAAATAGACACTGGATACTCTACCTGGGGCTCGTTTTCTTAAAGGATAGGCGGCACATTCTATCGTTCCTGGGGGCAGACTCGGTTGTGCTCAAAAACTTTCTGAAAAAGATTGAATCAATGCATTTTAGAATATGGGGGGGGGGGGGGGGGGGGGGGGAGCAGGAAAGAGAGATTTGACGGCACCTTGGGTATTGAAGCTATAAGGACGGCTCTAGATTTCAGGTATCAAATATGGTATTGTAACAGATCTAGAGGCAGACCTAAGAGAAGATGGCAGGATAACATGAAAAAGAGTGTGGGTGCAACATGAACAGAGAAAATTGCTGATTTAACAGAGCAGAGGGCGACATCCTGCAGCGGACAAGAAGACCTACTGAGAAAGAAAAGAAAGAAATATTACTTAAGTTGTTTCAGTCATATAAAAGTGTCAAACCGACGTCTTCTTTATGACATTCGTTAAAACTCCCAACGTTTCAGTACTCAACGAAGTTCCCAGTACGTTGATTTATTCAGTATGAGAATATAAAGAAAGAAAAAGAAGAAGAAAAAAAGAATATCAGAGACAAAAAGGTAATGCAATTAAAGATTACATGGTCATATTACATATCACATTTTCCTTCAGGTGTTTTATCCTTCTCTTTCGGCAGCCATATTTTTCTCAATAATAAGATATAAAGAAATGCCTTGTTCGTGATCTAGGCGTTTACACGTGCTTGTCTGAAAACGTGACTGCTACGGCAATTTGTCAAATACTGGTAGTAATACGTTTCACCATTTCTTAATTTCATCCTCCTTTTCTTCTCGGCAAGAATTGCGAATGTTTTAAATTTGTTTTTCCAATTATGGCGTATTCATATAGAAGATATTCATTTCTACTTACCAACGAATTTCCTTTAAATAAGCTTGCGGATACTCAATCACAAACAGACAAACAAACAAACAAACAAACAAATAAAAAACAAATCACCCTCCACACAAAACTCCGAGAGAGAACAATCACCACTGTGTAAACTAAAGACATGAACCAGACGAAACTCACAATCACACGCATAAAGACGTTATTGTTTCGACACATACGTATACTCAAATCTGGAATAAAAAAATATACGGATCGACATCGTGAATGGGTAATTTGACAAGATGATTACCTGAGAGAGAGAGAGAGAGAGAGAGAGAGAGAGAGAGAGAGAGAGAGAGAGAGAGAGAGAGAGAGAGAGAGAGAGAGAGAGTAGGGTGAGAGAGAACGGGGGTAGGTGGAGGGGTGGGTAGGGAGAGAGAGAAGAGAAGAGAGAGAGAGAGAGACAGAGAGAGAGAGAAAGAGAGACAGAGAGATAGAGAGGGAAGAGAGAGAAAAAGGGTGGGGAGAGGGAAGGGGAGAGACAGAGACAGAGAAAAAGAAAGACAGTGACAAAGTAAAGAAAGATAGATAGAGAGAGAGAGAGAGAGAGAGAGAGAGAGAATGAGAAAGAGAGAGAAAGAGAGAGAAAGAGAGAGAAAGAGAGAGAAAGAGATTTAGAGAAATATCATGTTAACAAAGATAGTGAAGGAATTAGATTAAGAGATAGAGAGAAAGAGATAGAATGAGAGAGGTGGAAAGAAAGTCTCTCTCTCTCTCTCTCTCTCACACACACACACACACACACACACACACACACACACACACACACAAACACACACACACACACACACACATACACGCACGCACACACACACAATCATAAGGAGCGAGAGAAAGAGAGAGACACAGAGAGGGAGA